GTGATAGATCCTTTCAGCTGATTTATCTCTCTTTGGTGCTGGAAATGGTATCAGTCACATTCTACTCAGGAAAACAGAAACCACTTTGAGTAATTTCCAAAGAGAGGAAATTTACTGTATGAAGTTGGTTCCAAATGTCTAAGAAGGATTGGAACAGCAAAAGGGAAAAGGGGGGCCGGGGGAGCCAGAAGAAGTATTCTGATAGGTCAGAAGCTTCTGTGCCCCCGAGCTGGAGCCCACAAGTCTGTCCCAGCTGCTGTGTAGTTGGAATTGCCATCATAGTCAGTTCTGGACCTGCCAAGGAAGTGTCACTTGTATCAGAGATGGGAAGTCCAAAGGATGGAAAGGCTACTACAGTCCAGAAGGCCCCCAGCCCTGGGGCTACTGCACCAGCAGCCAGAAACTGCTGTATTTCTACTGCCCAAGAGCAGGAAACTTCTTTTCCTCTTTCTGATCTCCTGTCAGTTCCTTCTATTGATAGAATCTAACAGGAAGACAGCTTCAAGGAAGGAAGCCTGTGAAATATCACTTGCAGAATTCCGATTCCATCAGTAGCAAGTAGAGTAGATCATCGGGGGTCATGCAAAGGCACCCTCGTGTTCTCCCTGAAATGGGCAATGTTAACTCGTCTTTTAGGTCTGTCACAATCTGATTTTAATGGAGCCATGCAGTCTTTCCCTGGTGCAACTTCCATTCCTGTCTTGGGAGTTAAGACCTCTGCAGGGACAGAAAGCAGAGGTCTTAAAATTCTGTTAGTAGATTATTAGAAAAATAATAGTTAAAAAATAGTAAAAGTGAAAGGAGGGACTTTTTATTTTCTAGAAGTGAGTGTCCTATCTGTGGCAAAAATGGCATTATATTATGGCGGTTAAAAGTGTATACCACATCCATATGGATCGCGCCCCAGTCTCTCAGGGTATCATCTGTCGGATGGGGTCATAAGTGAATAGTCAGTTGTTTATTCCACTGTTTTATCAGGCAAGCCGCTTCTGGGTGATGGAGTATGTGGCAGGCTTCATGGTGGTGAGGGAAAAAGGCCAGCCAGCATCCACAGAACAGGGCATTTTGTCCACCTGATTTCTGAGAGCCTCCTCAGCAGCTGGTACCTTTTTATTAAACATTCACATAACACTCTGAAACCTCATACCTTATGCCCATTCCAAAAAGTATATCCATCTACTTTTTCTTCATATGCCTTTCAGTTGCCAGTAGTTCTGTTTCTTTCTAAATCCTTGAACATTTGACCCACTTGTTAGCCACTGCCCACGAATTGGGTAAAAAATCTGTCCTTGTGTCTCTGTCCATGCCAAGTGCACAGCCAGATGCCCAATGGGGTATTTCCCTTCCCATTGCCTTTCAGGGACACTCCTGATTGGAGCCGTGATGTTTCAGTCATCCTCTTCCCGCTGGTCCTTCTATATTGTGCAGAACCACCTCTAAATGAGGCTTCAGCCTTTTCTTCCTCAGTCAGCTAGTTGGAGGTGACTCACCATGGGCCATATGTGCGAGTCAAGGAAAGGCAGCAGGGTACTAGGGGTAGGTGCTGTGGGAACTGCGCCATTTGCTTATGAACTTATTTGTGGATTCAGGATCTGTTCAGTCTGAGCTTGTACATAACACTTGCTCTTGATGATGGAATGCTGCTGCATGTGCCCAAATGTGTAATTTGGGGTGTTAGTAACACTCACTGATAGGCCACTCAGGCACAGCCACTTAGTGTCCCATGGTCAGCATCAAGCTCTAAGAGAGCCTGGTAGCATTCCAAAAGCTCATTTTCCAAAGAAAAATAGTTGTCTGCTAGACTTCCAAATCCAGCTACCTGGCTCTGGTGTTCATGCTTATACCTATAAGCTGGTCTGTATCAACTTTTATCTCTTTGACCAATTTAAACTTATTATTAAGAGTCTTTTGGGTTTTTATTCAGTATTTTCTGAAACTCTTGGGGTTCTGATTCTCCTGTTTGTATGCCTGCTCATTCTTTTTTATTTTTATTTTAAAATGTATTTATTGATTTTAGAGAGAGAGGAAAGGGGTGGGGGGAGAGAGATGAGAAACACATCAATTTGTTGTCCCACTTATTTATGGATTCAGTGGTGGATTCTTCTGTGTACCCTGACCAGGGATGGAACCTGCAACCTTGGCACATTGGGACGCCGCTCTAACCAAATGAGCTACCTGGCCAGGACTCATTCTTCTTTGTAAAGAATTACTTCCTTGTATGTTTTAACGTTTTGATTTATTTATTTCACAACACTGATTGAGCATCCACTGTATAGTCGAGTGCTGTTCGAGGAGCTGGGAGTGCATAAGTAAACAAAACAGGCAAAGTTCCTGCTCTTTTGGACCTAGCAGGAGAAAACAGACAATAAACAAATAAATAAAGGAATGGAGGGTGGGAGGGATGCTCATATGAGATGGTAAAGGAAAGCATCTCTGATAAGGTGACAAATTATCAGACACCTTAAAGATATGAGAATGTGAACGATGTGTATATCTGGAGGAAGAATTGCCAGGCAGAGGGAATAGTGAGTACAAAGGCTGCTTGGCAGGAATATGCCTCGAATGTTCAGGAGTGAGCAGAGATTGTCGTATCAGGAATGCAGTGCATAAGGGTAAAGCAAAAGTGTTGGGGGCAGAGAGGTACCAGGAGTGGGAAGGTGCAGACCAGGTTGAGCCTTTTGGGTTGGAGTTGGATGGGGGACCACCGGAGGGTTTTGCACAGAGGGGTTCCATGATTTTACATATGTTTTAGAAGGGTCACTCTGCCTGCCGCACTCAGACTAGACTGAAGTTGTAAGCCTGGGTGATAGGTGATAGTGACTTGGATAAAGGTGGTAACATCAGTAGTGGACAAAAGTAGTAAAGATTTTGGGTTTGGTTTTTAGGTAAAGCCAACAACATGGAGTCAAAGGTGACTCTGAATGGTTTTGGCCTAAGTAACTGGAATGGAGTTACCATCCTGAGGTGGAGTAAGACTGTACTTACTCCAGGTAAAAAACAGGTTTAAGATGAGGGTGAATGAAGGATATGGTTTTGGATGTGTCGAGCTTAGGTTGCCTATTAAGCATCTGAGAGGAGATGCAGGTAAACAGATAAGAGACTTAGGTTCAGAGAAGAGGTTGGGGGCTGGATATTTAAATCTGTGAGGCATAGACTCAAAGACGGTATTTCACAATGAGATGGGGCAGGCTGTCCTAGGGAATGATAATGGGTGGAGAAAAGGTCTGAGCCCCACAGCCTGGGGCATTCCAGCTATAAGGGAGGAAAAGTTTTCCTTGATCCTCTTCCTAGCTGGGTCTAAAATTAAACCGACAAAGATGGTTAACAGGATTAATCCAAACAAATTTACTTAATGGAAGTTTTATATGACACAGAAACCTTCAACAGGAAAGGAAGAAATAGCTGGACCCGAGTATTTTTATGCCAGGTTAGTGAAGAGTGGACAGTCCTGGAGGAACACGGTGGGGTAAGGAGGACGGGGTGAGTTTAGTGAACTGGGGAAACTCAGCAAAGCCTGTCGGTTCGGTTTCTTGTCAGTGCCCCTTTGTCTTTGAGATGAGGCGGCACCTTTCCTTTGGGTGTAGGGAGGGCACCTCTCATGAGGATTTTATGATCTGTTGTAGGGAAGAAAGGAGGTGAGTGTCAAAGAGTGGCCTTCCTGTTTCAGTTCAAAATATTCAGTGTGCCTAGGTGCCATATTTTGGGGTAGCGTGTTCTGAACCCCACAGCACTGCCAGGTTTGGAAAACGGAAAACCAGCAAAGGAGACTGAGAAAGAGTGACCAACAGAAGAAGAACCATGAAGGAGAGGCGTCTGGCAGTGAAGCAGAGTGTTTGAGGGTGAAGAAAGGGCGTGACTGGGCCAGTAAGATGCAGGCAAAGAACTAAATGTTGGATTTAACAACATGCAAGTTGCTAATCTTTTAAAAAATTGTTTTGCTGAATGGGGATGAAACCCTGATTAGAAGAGGTTCAAGAAAGAACGAGAGGAAAGTGAAGACAGCAAATGAAAAATACGAAACAGAAAAACTCTTTTGATGAATTTTGTATAAAGGGAGCAGAGAAATGGAGTAGTAGCCAGAGGTAGATGTGAAATCAAGGGCAGGTTTTGTTTGCTTACTTGTTCGTTTTTACGGCAGGAGAGATTAGACACCATGGTGGTACGATATTAGAGATGAGTGATTCTGAGTCCAGCTTAAGCAGAGCTTTTTTTCCCGTGGCTTGGATGCTGGGTTGTGTCTTGTACACTCTCCGACTGGGGACCGAACCTGCAACCTAGCCATGTGCCCTGACCAGGAATCAAACCCACAACCTTTTGGTTTGTGCGACAACGCCCAGCCGACCCACACCACCCAGGGCCTTCTTGAGCAGTTTTGCATTTGCGTCTGCAAGATGCCCTACAGGCACCACCAGCCCAGGACTGATTTTCTTGTTAAATTTTTAGCTCAAAGTCTCCCACACTAAGCAGGTAAAATAAGTCTGGACTCCAGAACCTAAAAAGACACAACCTTGGGTTTGATAGCGTACCTAGGGACAGTTATTTTTCCCCACCCAAAGCCCTGCAAAGACAAACTTTCTTCATTAAGAGCGTGGTCCTTAGAGGATTCCAACCTCTGCTGGTGGTAAAAACCCAAGCCCACGTTGCTGTTCACGCTCTGCTCCCTCTCCCCTTCTGGCACCCAGACATTTCATATTCTTTCTTGCAAGCCCAAACACACACATTTAAAAATTTGTGGTTAATGTTAGCCAGCATCTCTGGAGGTCTGTGGCAGGAAAGTTTCAGCACTTTCCAGACCCCTGTTTTTGCTTGAATCAGAAATCTCCCTTCATTCTTCACCTGGCGAATTCCTGGTCATCTTTGAGGTCTCAGCTTAAATGTTACTTTTCAGAGAAGTATTCCCTAACCCTCTCCATCTCAGTCTAAGCTAGTTTACATTTGTATCCTTCCCACAGCACCTTCTTTCTGTCTTAGCAAATAATCTGTCATTTGTAACTTCATAGGAATATTTGTTCAATGCCTGATACCTACGCCAGATTGAAAACTATGTGAAGGCAAAAATCAAGCCTGTTCAGCTCATCATACAGCAGAAGGCCCGATTTATAAAAGATGCTAAATGAAGTTTGGTGACTATACAAATAATTGTCTGAAAATTTAAAAACTAATAGTATGGTATTACACGCTATCCTAAAACCTATTATTCTCTGTGTCCTAGAGACTATATTCTCTAACAAAGTGGTTTTCATGGGGAAAAAAAGATAGAGATTTCTGATTGTAATTTTAGTTCATTCATCTCAGAAAACAGTGTCATTTTGTGTTTGGTAATCACATGTGTCTTCTCCTCTTCAGAATGGAGATCTCTTCTCATCAGTCTCAACTCTTGCAGCAACTAAATGAGCAGCGTCGGCAAGATGTGTTTTGTGATTGTAGTATCCTCGTTGAAGGGAAGGTCTTCAAAGCACACCGAAATGTATTATTTGCTAGCAGTGGCTACTTTAAAATGCTTCTTTCCCAGAATTCAAAGGAGACAAGTCAGCCGACGACAGCTACATTTCAGGCTTTCTCCCCTGACACCTTTACCGTTATCCTGGACTTCGTCTACTCCGGCAAACTCTCTCTTACTGGTCAGAATGTCATAGAAGTGATGTCAGCTGCTAGCTTCCTTCAGATGACTGATGTCATTAGTGTATGTAAGACCTTTATTAAATCTTCATTAGACATTAGTGAGAAAGAAAAAGATCGCTATTTCAGTCTCTCCGATAAAGATGCCAGTTCTAATGGTATAGAACGTTCCTCTTTTTATAGCAGTGGCTGGCAAGAAGAAAGCGGTTCTCCACATTCTCGCCTGAGCCCAGAACAAGGAACAGGTGTGCTAAGTGGAAGATCTTGGAATAAGTATAATTACCCTCCGGTTTCCCAGAGGAATACTCAGCAACCCTTGGCCAAGCATGAACAAAGGAGAGATTCCATTAAAAAGTCCAAGCACTTGAGGTTGTCACAGCCTTCTGAAATTGCTCATTGTAAGTCCAGCAAGCGAGACGCGCGAACATCTGATTCTTCCAGCCATGTTTCCCAGTCCGAAGAACAAGCACAAATTGATGCTGAAATGGACTCTACCGTTGGCTTCCAGTACGGTCAAGGCTCTGAAGTCACATCAAGAAGTTTTCCAGGTACTCAAAAAGAGACTGTCCCCTCTCAGGTTCCAGTACCCTAATATAAATCAAACCTATCCCACATGCCCTTACTTTTAGGTGTTATGGGTAGTTGAACCAAGTGATTTTTTTTTTAAGATTTATTTTTAGAGAGAGGGGAAGGGAAGGAGAAAGAGAGGGAGAGAAACATCCATGTACGAAAGAAACATTAATTGGTTCTGAGAGGGTCAAAATCCATGATTTTCCGATTTTCTAAACCCATATCCTTGGGTGATTTAGATTACCGCTAAATGTTTAAACTTCTTTTCTAAATGGTTCAATTCCAAAGACCAATTGAGCCATGCAGGTGAGGGCCCAAGTGATTTTTTTTTTTTAAGATTTTATTTATTTATTTATTTATTTATTTATTTATTTATTTATTTAGAGACAGGGGAAAGGAAGGAGAAAGAGAGGGAGAGAAACATCAATGTGTGGTTGCCTCTCACATGGCCCCCATGGGGACCTGGCCTGCAACCCAGGCAAGTGCCCTGACTGGGAATTGAACTGGTGACTCTTTGGTTTGCAGCCTGAGCTCAATCCACTGAGCTACACCAGCCAGGGCCCAAGTGATTTTTTTTTAAAGATTTTATTCATTTATCTCTAGAGGGGAAGGGAAGGAGAGAAAGAGAGAATATCAATGTATGGTTGCCTCTTGTGAGTCCCCTGCTGGGAACTGGCCTGCAACCCAGGCATGTGCCCTGACTGGGAATCGAACTGCGATCGTGTGGTTCGCAGGCCCGAGCTCAATCCATTGAGCTACACCAGCCAGGGCTCCAAGTGATTTTTTTAAAATCACTTCTCTAATAAAATTTATTTCATAAAACATAAATTCAAAAATTTTTGGTAAGATTTTATTTATTTATTTTTAGAAAGAGGGGAGGAGAGGGAGGAAACATCGATGTGAGAGAGAAACTCCGTTCAGTTGCCTCTCAAGCTCTCCAACCAACCAGGGACCGTAACCCAGGCTTGTGCCCTGATCAGAAATTGAACCATTGAACTTTTGCATTGTGAATGACACTCAGCCAACTGAGCCACACTGGTCAGGGCATAAATTGAATTTTTCCCCCAAATTTTATTTATTCATTTCTAGAGAGAGTGGAAAGGAGAGAAACACTGATGTGTGAAAGATCAACTGGTTGTCTCTTCCATGCCTGTAACTGGGGACCTGGCCCACAACCCAGGCATGTGCCCTGACTGGGAATCCAACCGGCGACCTTCAGGTTCGCAAGCCAGTGCTCAACACATTGAGACACATCAGCCAAGGCTAAAATTTTTTAATTAAAGTAATATTGGGAAATTTAATGACAAGTCAAAACAATGAAGTTCTGAGTGTTAAAAGTCCATGATTTTCAAATTTGTATCTGTAGTTGATCCACTAAATGTTTAAAGCTGTTTTCTAAATGGTTCAATTCCTAAGATACATGTTTTCACTTTAAATAGTTTACTTTTTTCTGAGTACTTACTTGGGAAGAGTATTTTTACACTTAAAAGTTAAATAGAGCAACCATGCGTATTTGCTAAAGTTCTCAGACCCTTTATCCGAAAGAAATTAGACTAACTCTGAATTTATTATGATATAAAAACATAATTAAAAAAAAACAACGTACATTCTGTAGCATTGATACTGTAATTCATGTGCAACAAACAGGACATCTTTGTTTCACTTTAAAACAGCAATAAAGTCATCCTTTTTGTATTTGGGCTCTGCCCTTTCATAAATCTGGGCAGATTTATAAAATCTGGAGAGATTAATTAGGGTTAATTAAATCCTAACTTCAGGAACGAACAGCTGAATTAACAGCAGTTAAGTTGACGAGGTTTGCTTTCAATCACAACTACCATGTTGAGTACGTGAGTTTTAAAATAAAAAAATTAAAGATCCCTTAAGTCAGCTATACTTTAAGAGCTTTATAGCCCTGTCTGGTGTGGCTCAGTAGATTGAGTACTGGCCTGCTAACTGAAAGGTCGTGGGTTCAATTCCCAGTCAGGGCACATGCGTGGATTGTGGGCCAGGTTCCCAGTTGGGGGCTTGCGAGAAGAAACCAGTTGATGTTTCTCACTCTCTTTCTCTCTCACTTCTCCTCTCTCTAAAAAGAAATTTAAAAAGAAAACAAAAAGAAAGAGCTCTGAATTTCAGAATGAAAAACAATTGATCCTTGAAGATCCTTTCAAGAGATCCTTGAACTTTTTTCACCTGTGAAAGTATTACAAGTGTAAAAAGAATAAAGGCAAGGGAAAGAAAAACATGTAAATGAAACAAGTTACTTAAAAGCTTCAATATTAAATAATTTTACTTTTGGATTGTATCTGCAGTTTTATTTTATTTATTATTTTTTAAATGATAGGATCCCGGACTTTTTTTTTTTTTAAGATTTTATTTATTTTATTTTTAGACAGAAGGGAAGGGAGGAAGAAGGGGAGGGAAACATCAATGTGTTGTTGCCTCTCGCACGCCCCCCACTGGGGACCTGGTCCGAAACCCAGGCAGGTAACCTGATTGGGAATCAAACTGGCAACCCTTCGGTTCACAGGCCAGTGTTCAATCCACTGAGCCACACCAGCCAGGGCTGTATCTACAGTTTTAAAAATCAGTACTACATTTTTACATTCAATATGTATTGACTCTATGACATTTAATAAAAAGGTAAGTGTGACCATCTAACTTTACCCAGACTGTAAATATGTCAGATATTAATACTAAAGTTATAGTTCTGTACTTAGGGTTACATTGACAATCAACTGTTAATAACATTTCTTCTCCTTTCTCCTTTTCAAGATTGGACTCACCAACTCCTTCTGGATTCTTTTTGTTACTAGACTTGTTACGGTGAACTTCCCAGGGATTTAACCGAGTTGTCTCCTCACAGATGACCTGCCCAGGATGAGATTCAAGTGCCCGTACTGCACACACGTGGTGAAGCGGAAAGCAGACCTAAAGCGCCACCTTCGCTGTCACACAGGAGAACGGCCCTACCCCTGTCAGGCCTGTGGGAAAAGGTTCAGCAGGCTAGACCATCTAAGTAGTCACTTTCGAACAGTATGTATTTGATTTTTCATCATTTTACTTCTTAAAGAGATATGTGCGTTGATCTGCTTTAGGAGAATCTAACTTGTGACGGAAATATTTTCACACAATTTTACCATATTAAAAAATTTTCCAACTTAATGTTTTTACTCTGCACATAGTACATAATTGTCTCTCTATATATTTATTTATTCCCCTTTGAGACCTTGAAACTGGAGATATTTTTTGAGTGCTTATTTCAATGCATTTAAAATCTGATAGGTTTATATATACTGGTCTTTTTGGAGCCAAAGACAATGTAAACTGTAAAAATGTTTTAAATGTCTGGGTTAGAACCACCACTTCAGATACCCAACATCTAATGGTGATTCTTGAGTCATCTGATAGGATGTCTGGTTTCTGCTGTCTGACCTGTCTGCACGACACCCCCTTTCTAGTGTTGCTCCCTTTTCCTTATGGTCTCCTCCAGAGAGGCAGCAAGGTGGGCAATAGAACCACTCCCAGTAAGGGACCAGACGGTCAACAGTCAGAAAAATCTCAGGCCATTTGCCAGCAGATGCTCTGGTGCTTTAATAACATAGTGATGCCTGGCTGGGGTGGCTCAGTGGATTGAGCTCCGGCCTGAGAACCAAGGTGTTGCCAGTTTGATTCCCAGTCAGGGCGCAGGCCTGGGTTGCAGGCTGAGTCCCCAGTGTGGTGTGCAAAAGAGGCAACTGATTGATGTTATTCTCCCTCTCTTTCTCTCTCTCTTCCCCTCTCTCTAAAAATAAACAAAATCTTTAAAAAAAATAACGTACTGATATAGGAACATTGTTTTACTTTTCATCTTGCAACAAAATTTTTTTTCAAAATCTGTTCTTTGCTTGTATTTCAATTCCATTCATAGGACATCCTTTTAATTTTAAAGGACACTGGGTCCGTTAAAGTAGTTTGTTTTTTAAGAGAATAGTATCTTTTTAAAAAAAGATTTTATTTATTTATTTTTAGAGAGGGGAATGGAGGGAGAAAGAGGGAGAAAAATATCAATGTGCAGGAGATACATTGGTTGCCTCTCCCATGCCCCCTACCGGGGACCTGGCCCACAACCCAGGTGTGTGCCCTGACCGGAATGTGCAGGAGATACATTGGTTGCCTCTCCCATGCCCCCTACCGGGGACCTGGCCCACAACCCAGGTGTGTGCCCTGACCGGAAATTGAACCAGCGACCTCTCGGTTCACAGGCCGACACTCAATCTGAGTTCCGAGCCACACTAGCCAGGGCCCTTAAGGTAATTTCTTAATGTATTGCTTTATAGTTATCCAACAAATATAACTGAGTACCTATTATGTGCCAGACCCTTTTCTAAGTGCTAGGTATACAGCAGTGAGCAAAACAGACAAAATGTCTTCCTTCAATAATCTCATGAAGCTAGATCACTGATTTTCAGCTTCCTTCATGTCACGTCACAACATAAACTAAGTCTGCAGCACACCAAAAAAGACATTATATATATATATTTTTTTTTTTTGCCTGTCTGACCAAAAAAAATAGGTATAATTTTGATTCATTCGTGCCAGACAGCTATTGTTGTGTTGGCTGTTATCATTTTTTTATTTGACAATACTAAGGGAAAAGAGGTTAGTGCTCCTCACTGAATAGTCAGGTATTGCATGTTTTAAAATTTTTTACGGCACTCTGGTTGATAATTGCTGAACTAGATTATTAAAAATTAGCCCTGCCTGGTGTGGCTCAGTGGATTGAATGCTGGGCTGTGAAACAAAGGGTCACAGGTTCGATTCTCAGTCAGGGCACCTGCCTGGGTTGCGTGCCAGGTCCCCGGCAGGGGGCGCATGAGAGGCAACCACACACTGTTGTTTCTTTCCCTCTCTCCTTCTTCTCTCTCTAAAAATAAATAAACAAAATGGTAAAAAAAAATAAAAATAAAACCAATGTTATTACAAAAGCAGTAAACATTTATTATAAAAAGTAGGAAAAAAGAAGTAAAAATAAGAAAATAAAAACAGCATATTTTTACCACCCAGATATTACCATTCTTAATACTTAATCATGTGCATTTATGGTATTTTTTTACTAACACGAGATACTGCACATGCTATTTTGTAACTTGCTTTCTTTAGTGAACAGTCTCTACCTTTACATCTCAATAACATTTTGTCCAGCACCCAGTACAATTTTAAATTTCCCCATAGTTCTCTAAACACCTGTTACACTTGTCTGTCCACACCAGACTCTGATCCAGAAGCATGTATTACATCTCATTGTTAGCTCCCTTTGGGGTGTTTTGAAGCTCTCGTCATATCTCCTCCCCTTCTCTTTCATAGCACTGACTTAAAAAAGACACCGAGCCGACTGTTTTACACAGTATTCTGCCTCTGGATTTTTCTGCTTCCACACGATGTCATTCCTCTCACCCCCCCCCCCAACATTTTCTGTAAAATAGTTTTATCTAAAGCCTCAATGGATTCAAGTTGAATACTTCTGACTACAACACCTCAAGACTGAAAATTTTTTTGTTCTTTTTATATATATATTTTATTGATTATGCCATTACAGTTGTTCTATTCCCCCCTTCATTCCCCTCCACCCTGCACACCCCTCCCCCACCATTCCCCCCCTTTAGTTTATGACCATGTGTCTCAAGTTCTTTAGATTCTATATTTCCCCTACTATTCTTGCCCTCCCCCCTATCTATTTTCTACCTACCATCTGTGCTACTTATTTTCTGTACCTTCTCCCCGCTTCTCCTCCTCCCACTCCCCTGTTGCTAACCCTCCATGGGATCTTCATTTCTATGGTTCTGCTCCTGATCTAGCTGTCCTCTTAGTTTGCTTTTGTTTTAGGTGTGGTTGTTAATAACTGAGTTTGCTGTCCTTTCACTGTTCATCTTTTTTATCTTCTTTTTCTTAGGTAAGTCCCTTTAACATTTCATGTAATAAGGGCTTGGTGATGATGAACTCCTTGAATTTGATCTTATCTGAGAGGCACTTTATCTGCCCTTCCATTCTAAATGAAAGCTTTGCTAGATAGAGCAATCTTGGATGTAGGTCCTTGCCTTTCATGACTTGGAATACTTCTTTCCAGCCCCTTCTTGCCTGTAAGGTCTCTTTTGAGAAATCCGTTGACAGTCTGATGGGAACCCCTTTGTAGGTGACTGCCTCCTTTTCTCTTGCTGCTTCTAGGATTCTCTCTTTCATTTTAATCTTGGCTAATGTAATTATGATGTGCCTTGGTGTGTTCTTTCTTGGATCCAAGTTCTTTGGGACTCTCTGAGCTTCCTGGATTTCCTGGAAGTCTATTTCCTTTGCCAGATTGGGGAAGTTCTCCTTTATTAGTTGTTCGAATAAGTTTTCCACTCGTGGCTATTCCTCTTCCCCTTCTGATACCCCTATAATTCGGATGTTGGAACATTTAAAGATGTCCTGAAGGTTCCTAAGCCTCTCCTCCTTTTTTTGAATTCTTGTTTCGTCATCCTTTTCTGTTTGGTCATTTTTTTCTTCCTTCTGGTCCACTCCTTTGATTTGAGTCCCAGTTTCCTTTCCATCACTAATGGTTTCCTGTGCATTTCCCTTCGTTTCAATTAGTTTAGCCTTCACATGTTCCTCTAATTTGTGACTAAAATCAACCAGTTCTGTGAGCATCAGATCACCAGTGTTTTGAACTGTGCATCTGAAAGTTTGGCTATTTCTTCATTGCTTAGATTTATTGGCTCTGGGGCTCTGAGTTGTTCTTCAGCCATGTTTTGATCTGCTTGTGCCTGTTATGTATGAGGAGCGAGCCTTAGGTGTTCACCAGGGCGGGGCTGCCCAGGTCACTGGTTTGTGACGCTGTATGTGGGAGCGGGGTCAGAGGGACAATGGCGGTCCCCTCTGCTGCTTCCCGCCGCTGGGGCCTGCTCAGTCAGTCTCATCTCACTGCTCACTCCTTCACCAGTTTATCTGTGTGCGAATGAGTGACCGCAGTCCGCCCTCAGTGGGTCCGCCCACTACTCCACACCTGGGATCCGCCCATGGCTGCTGGCGTGCCTGGGTAGCACGCCCCAGTCGGTCCGTTGGATCTTTCCTGCTCAACCCTGCTCTGCTGCTGGCTCTGCCCCTCTTACCTGTTTGGCTGAATGGTTTGTTGTTGTCAGACTTCCGTATAGTTCAATGTTCTGTGGTTTGGCTGCGTTTTTGTTGCTAAAACTTTATTGTTTTTAAATTTGGTTGTGCAGGAAGGCACAGTGTTTCCACCTACACCTCCATCTTGGCAGAAGTCTGAAATTATTTATTTTATATTGTGTCACATTAGGAGACCCATCATATCTGGAGGACCCATCGTTGGTGTTATTCAGATCCATCGCTGGATTAGGGTGATGGCAGTGTGATCCCACCATTGTCCAGTTAAAGGTGCCGCTTGTGGTTAGAAAGGAATCCGTGTGGAGCTGTGTTGGTTCCAAGTCACTGTCCATTTCCCCATCACCCATTCATTGAAATTATTAATTTTACTTGAAGTGGTGGACTAATTTACTAATTTTATGCTCCCTTCTACATTATCAGCTGGAATTCTACAAAGTGAGGCTTTCCCTTGTCGTGTAAGGCTATTAGGTTATTTGACAGAGGGTTTCTGTAGAAGCACAACAAATCTTTGATTCTTTCCCTTTAATTAACAATTTTCAAAGTGAAGAGTTGATTTCATAGTAATCTTAAGTGATTTGAGATTTTATCTGGCTTTGCTTTTTTTTAAATAGCACATGATCTCAGGAATTTTTATTGGTTCATTGTGTTTGGATTCATAACAATTACTGTTCTTCTTGATGCTCACATTTTCAGTTTTGTCCAGTGGGGACATCTTGAAGATGGCTTTTGTGTCCTTTTGTTACAACTCATTAGAATTTTAGTGTCCTTATTCTTTGGCTCCAAAAGAGCCCTGGGCTCAGCTTGTACTTTCCCTGTCACGAAACTGGAACCAGCCATTTCTCAAAGGAGCTCTGTGTCCTTTTAGTGGGGAATAAAATTTGAAACCAATATTTGGACACCTGGGTGCTCATTGTCATTATGTTGTCATTCTTTTTCAATTGTTTCAGTGAACAGAGCTAGAGGACATGTATTTTTACATGTGTTCATGTTTTTCAATTTTAACATTACAGTGTTTCACTTGATTTCTTTGACTTCATAACTGTATTGGGATGGGGGAGGAACATGTAACATGTCAGAACTTTGTAACAAAAACAGTGCCATGTATGATAACTGTAATGTTACTGTGTCAGGAGAAATAAGGACACACTCAAATTGTGTGCCTCCAGTCTTTACTGCTTAATAGGGCAGCGGTTAAACGGAAGGTAATAACTGCTGAGTGATTGTCCCATACACTTTCTTAGATATTTTTTACTGGAGCGTGTTAGTTTTCTTTTTCTTTCTTTTTTTTTTTTGTGGCCCACTTTCATACTCTACTTAATTCAGCATTATATAATTAATTGTAATAGTGTTTAGAGTAGACCCTATAATCTGCTGCTCTGAGAGCTGTTGAGCCAAGTTGTTTATTACTAACTAGAATATATAATTATTCATCAAGTGCAGCTTTCCCCCCAAACATTTCACACGCATTAACTCCTTTGTTCCTCACAACCTGGGTTGTATCCTCATTAGTACTAAAGAAGCAGACGGAGATAATATAGGCTGATAGACAGCAGAACTACCATAGAGATGGTTTATAACATGTCCATTCTGATTAGTCAGGTTTCTGTTTGGTTTGGGCGGTGCCTACAACTTACCAGTTGTTAAATAGTTTGACTCTCACCTGGAAGCAGGTTTACAGTGTTTTAAATTTACTTGGTTCAAGATACATGATTAGCAAACAATAATGTTAGTAAATGACAAAACCAGGACTAGAACCCAAGCCTTAAAATTCCTAGTCCAATTCTCTTTCTACTAGATCAACCTTTCATTAATAATAGTGGCAAGTAATCATCTATCCAAAATATTTTTATAAAATTAAATGAGACAATATTCTTTCTTTCTCTAGCAAAATAACAAAAAAAATTAATACTCATATAAAATGAGAGGGTTTTTCCCCCTCAATTGAGATATGTAAAGTCACTAGAATAGTACATGGCATATATGTGTTTGCAATTATTATTATTCTGAAAAGGTGTCCTGCATTACCTCAGATATCAAAATACTTTTGGATTAAGGGATATTTGAAATTACTAAGTATGTAATGTTACTCATAAAAACATTAGAGTCATTCTTTCGAGAAAACTAGTGTGTAATATTTCTGTGACATCAATTTATCACCAAAACCTGTATCTTTTTCTAATGACTAGGTGGTAATCTAATGTTAATGCTTGGCTTTGAACATCTTAAATTTATAAACTGGTACCTAGAATATCAAATTGTCCTGCTTTTTAAAAATCCTTTTTTATCACTATTTACATCTCTACACAGATTCACCAGGCATGCAAACTAATCTGCAGAAAATGCAAACGCCATGTGACTGACCTGACAGGTCAAGTGGTACAGGAAGGAACCAGGCGCTACAGACTCTGTAATGAGTGCCTTGCTGAAGTTGGCATAGACAGCCTCCCCATTGATTTGGAAGCTGAACAGCATCTTATGTCCCCATCAGATGGAGATAAGGATTCCAGATGGCATTTGAGTGAAGATGAGAATAGATCGTATGTGGAGATTGTAGAGGATGGGTCTGCTGATCTGGTCATACAACAGGTTGATGATAGTGAAGAAGAAGAAGAAAAGGAAATAAAGCCCAACATTAGGTAGCGGTAATGTGAACCAACAGAGTTGGCATTCTGCAGCTTATAGTGACCACCTGTATCTCTCCCTCTTTTCCATCATCAGAGACTGGTTAACACATTGTCAGACTGACTTAAAAGTAATCACCTGATAAAACTTGCATGTTTTCTGAACAGGCCGTTGTATCCACTCTGAACTTTGTTGCCCTAAAATATGTTGCTGCACTGGAAAGAAAGACCTAGATTGAGTTGGCATGATAGATGGACAATTAATCCTCTTTTATTACAGAGGAGATACCTTTCTTCTTTTAGTATTAGAAGCTCTACTTAGCAAATCTATTTCAAAGAAAATATTTTAAATAAATTGACCACAACCAAACTTTATGTAAGATAATTTCAAGGCGTTTCAAAAACACATATTGAATTTTCATAGGGAACCAGGTAAGAGCACATTTAAGAGTCAGACACCCAACCTGACTGAACTAATAAGTCATTCTATTAACTTGGGGGCCACAACCACCTATCATTTTCATAAAGCAGGAAACTAATACTTCCTAAAAGTCAAGGCAGTTTGTGAAGATGTGTCAATATAGTTCTTAACCCAAAACAAGAAAACTGGAGGTTCTTACCAGTTCCTGAGAGCAATTTCTAACATTTATGAATATTATTTATACATATTATTTATAAAGGTAATATTACTGTCTCTGATTTACAAATGAGGAAGTTAAGGTCAGAAAGTGTAAGTGGCGGGACAGGTGTCTATCTGGACAGGTTTTCATTTTAAACAATCCTCTTTCAACTATTTCTCCTCATAATGTCCCCAGAAATGGCGAAGAACTGAAGTTGCACTTTACCGAGCTGCAGTAATTATAAAAGAAGCCTATCAGAATTAGAAAGTGTGAGAAAGGAAGAAGTTAATCATCTTCAACAACATATAATATCTTGAACTAGAGTTATTCAGATAGTGCTAAGTAATGTCCCTATGGTATCTATTGACATGTTTTTATGTCGTTATTTATATGTAAACTTTATATATAAAACTATTTGAACAAGTTACGCTCTTAAACGCTTTAAACATTTTTTTTTGCTTATCTTGTATAGATAATTTTTCAGAGTAAACTTTTCTCCTGGGATACAAAGTTAAGTTTAAACTCTTACCCTGTGTGAATAATGAAACATTCCAAACTTAAGTTAATTTGAAGAAGCATTATTTTAGTTCTAAAGATAAAATCTGTATGCCAGAAGGAAAGAACTGACCTCCATAAAGGTCTCTGCAGGTTATCACAATAAAGCTTGATATTGTTGAATTTAGATAGAGGCTCCATGTATTATACGGTATTTTTAAATACAGCCTGACATACCTCAAGATGATACTTTTTTATCATTATTTTCTTATATTCTTTAATTAGTGATCATTTCTAATACCAATTTGTGGGCTAAAATGGTTCATTTCTTAAAAAAAAATTTTTATAAGTAGATGAATAACCACTTTGTTTTATGGTACTTAGCTCTGAGATTCTGAGACATTTTCAAGACTCCTCTGATGGTAAATTTCCAGTTGCTTCCAGGCTAGAGGGGGTGCATTGAGTTCACTGTTCTCCTGACATTCATGTCCTGAATCAGGAGTCTAAACAATGAATTTGTATCCCAGTGAGGGAGGGGACAGTTGTCATGTCACTACCTAGTCTCACCAGATGATGAGAGTATCTTTCAAATTTATAATCTGATTTTTAGTTGTTGGAGCCAATAGGAAAAACCTACTGATTTGAGCTTTATTCATAGAAATGAAGTAGTGCTTGCATGTGTATACTCTTAACGCACTTTATGATCTAAATGTTTTTTTATGCTCTGCTCTTCTGCATGCAAACCTTACCATACAGCAGCATGAATGCCAGCAAAGCCCACTGAACACAGTGCCACCAGCACTTGTAGAGCCTTAACAGAATAACGCTCTCTTGTAATTGTTTCTAACAGGTATTGAAGAATCCCCACAGAACAGCCCTCAGGTTCCCCAAATAGCACATCGATTCTATCATCTTAGTATCAGAAAAGAAGAACATTCATAACATGTTTGCAAGTTGTAAATAATACTCCAGTTACCATCTCCTATGTCTCTGAGTCTTTATAGAGACCAGCTCTTTTCTGGAATGAAACTGTTTATTATTGGTTTCTGAGAAAACTGAATTCTTTGGCTTTTAAATGTGGGGAAATGTTACATAGGTGTATAATCGGTTAATATAAGCCTATTTATGCAAAGGGTTTTTTAAAAAAGTAATTGGAAAATAATGGGAATTGATTAGACCAGTTTGCTCTTGCAGGAATGCTGTTTATAAGCTTCTGAACATCCTTCTAACTATGGTCTTGAGGAGTGTCTTGTTGATGGGATGAAGTTTTGCAAAAATAAAAGCATCACTGCAGTTGTGCCTAGTATCTGGGGGAAGCAAAATAGACTAGATCAGTGGTTTAAAAGATTTTTTTTTACCCTAGAAAACCATTTCTGCTAGTGAATTGTTTCATAGAGAAGCCCAACATTTAAGGAAGAAACTCTAAAATCAGAGTTGCTCTGGTTAAAGCCCCCTATGAGCCTGTCCCCTGGCGCCTTGGCAGAGCTCAGAAGTGCAGCACCGAAAACCTTGGAACTAGGTAACTTTTTCATTTCTCTTTGAGCGTTAGTTTCTTTACTATTCCTATGACTCACTGCACTTTTAAGCTGATAACCACAGGTTCTCTTAAAGCTGCTAATCAATCATCCTTATTCAGTGTTCCTCCTGTAGTTACATCATAGGACTTTAAGAACACATTTTTCAGTGTTGTATTGTTGAGTGATGAAATCAAAACAGGTACTGCTTTTTTTTGTGGCCATTCTACTGTTTAATGTATTACAAAAGTTTCTTTTTTCAATTATTTATGAGCTAAGAACTAAATTCATTAAAGTTATTTTCCCAAGTCATGCTAAGATATATCGAAATTCCCGTTTGTCTGTGTATATGTATATATATATTTTTTTTGGGGGGGGGCCTAAAGTTAATGCAGTGGAAAATCACTAAAAACAATACAGCATAAAAAGATGTGTTTAACTGGGAAGGGTGATAATAGTAGATCCTAGAGGACCAAAATTTACATTACAAATGGAAAGTTCTATGTTATTTTATATGAGTGAATCAGTATTACTATTTATCATTTATATTGCCTTTTATATTCACAAAGTATCTAATAACTTTTGTTATTCTTTACATATCTAGGAAATAGGACAGTTATTCCACATAAGTAAAGAAATTGAGGCACAGAACAGTAAAGCAGCCTACCTAAGACAACCCAATGAAACACAGGCAAAAATAGGAATTCGAATGATCCAAACTTCTGAGTCCTGGAATATCAGTGTAATTCATTGAAGTGTGTTGTGTATTACTCTATTTTATAAGATGACTTTATACAAATAAGAGTCAATTGTTTTAAAGCTGACATCATTGTATGTGATTAAATTCTATACAGAATAAATGTTAATGTAAAGTATGTGACTTTATTTACAAGAGTTTTAATGATAAAATTCAGATTATCACAAAAATGACACTTCAGCCAGTTTCTGTATATCTTGTGAAGTATAATTAATATTTTATTTTGATACAGGAGTTTCTTAACTATGTATTCACACTAATGGAGCCACAAATACACTAAGAAAAATGGGATCCACAAAGGATCTGTGCACTTCATTTTCTAACATGTCAGTCTTCTCCCTGCAGAACTTGTATAAATGCTAACAAAAAGGTGTGTTAATAATAAGCAATAAACCACACACAAAAGAAACCAAGGGACTCTTTTCAAGGCAAAATATTTTGAAGTGTACTTACTTATGTAGCATGATAAATACTTTTCCCCACCCCGTTTCTTTTTTTCACATCAGCAAAAGTCATTGGATGTTTTATCACCTTTAGAAAGGAAACCAGTGACCAGGTTAATGCCAGTCACCACTTTACCTCTGGGATTGACTAGACCATTTGAAAACATTATTACATCAAATGCAGCTTGTAAAGTACATCTAAGATTTTACTACATTTGCTTTGTTCTTTCAGATTTCTAGATATAGAAATCCATTATATAGTTTGTTTTTTTTTAAGCTTCACCTGAGGACATTTTTTTCATTGCTTTTAGAGAGAGGAGGGAGAGAGAAAAAGACAAATATCAGTTGTCTCTTGTACAGCCTAGGTATGTATGTGCCCTGAGCAGGAGTGAAACCCACAACTTCTCAGTTTGCGGGACTGCACTCCAACTGAGCCATGTGGGCCACAGCTATATAGTTTTTTGATTTTCCCACTGGGGAGATCTTTTAATCCCTAGTTGATATTATTCACAAGTACTTAATCTCTTTATTAAAGAGTAACTTTTATAAAAAGATTTTGCCCTGGCTGGTGTAGATTGAGCACAGGCCTGCAAACCAAACAACCACAGTTTGATTCCCAGTCAGGGCACATGCCTGGGTTGCAGGCCAGTTCCCAGTAGGGGATGCATGAGAGGCAACCATACATTGATATTTCTCTCTCTCCTTCCCTCCCCAAAGATAAATAAATAAAATCTTTTTTTTAAGATTTTATTTTTAGAGAGAAAATAAGACTTTAAATCTTTTAAAAATCTTATAAAAATAAGATTTTCTTTTTATTTATATTTATTTTAAAAATAAATAAAATATTAAAAAATATATAGATGCTTAGGCAAATTAGAATCTCTGGCAGATGAAGCCTGGTATAAGTATTTAAAACAAATCTTACTAGCATATTTTACATGCACAACATCTCCTATTCCAGGTTCCCCCTTTCTTCCCCATGGAAGTACTAGAGATGGGCACTCAGACCATTTCACCTTCCAGTCTATTAGTTCTGAATCCTGTCACTAAGGAAAAATTTTAAAATACAGATGCCCAGTTCAAAAATATATAAATTTTGTGAAATTACAAGATACTATGTATGTTCCTTTAACATTTTTGTTAGGGACAAATAATATGAACACTAAACTAGTAGGTAGTCTTAAAATAGCCCATTTTTACTTTGTGATGTATTTGGATTTTGATTATGGGTATTACATTCTGGAAATGCACATAGTACTTCAGACTAATAAAAAACTATTAGGAACATGTGACTGAAATATGATATCCTGAAGTTTTGTGAGCTTTTAATGTTTTTGCTTTTAAAAAAGGAACCAGAACACCGTCCAAGCCTTATGATGCTTAATTGCTACATGTTAGAATTCCATCAGTGAATTGAATTAAATAAATTTTTAAGATTTTACTTTAAAAAAAAAAAAGATTTTACTTATTTTTAGTCAGGAAGAGAGGGAGAAAAACATCCATTGGTTGCCTCTCACACACTCCCAACCAGGAACCTGGCGGGCAACCCAGGCAGGCCCCCTGACTGGGAATGGAACTGGTGACCTTTCCATTTATGGGGCCACGCCCAACCCACTGAGCCCCACCAGTCAGGGCTGAATCAAATTATTTTTTATTTAAGTTAAACATTGCACTATATAGAAATAGTACTCAAAACTAAGATGTGTTTTTTAAAGGAGATTTGGGATAAATATGGAAACAAAAAACTTTACTTCGTGAATTACTATTAAAATTATTTTTAAAGATTTTATTTATTTATTTTTAGACAGTATTTATTTTTAGACAGAGGGGAAGAGAAAGAGAGAGGGAGAGAAACATCAGTGTGTGGTTGCCTCTCCCATGCCCCTCACCAGGTGGCATGGCCTGTAATCCAGGCACATGTCCTGACTGAGAATCAAACCAGCAACCCTTTGATTGGCATGGTGGCACTCAGCCCACCGAGCCACACCAGCCAGGGCTAAATTTTGTTTTTAAATAACATCTTCTAAGTAGAGTACCGTTCTTATTGCCATGTTTAAGGTTATGTTCGCAATGCAAACAAGTATATCCCTTCAGTAGTATTGTATATACAGACACTCCCTTGCTTAGTCTCCTCACCCTGCCTGAACACACACCATATCCAATAACAAAGGCGGCACATTATTGTATAATTCAAAAAGTTTAAATGCTAAAATTAAATTAAAATATCGTGCCTTTTGTTGAGTCAGTTGATCTAAATTTTTTTCCCTTTGGAGGAAAAGATCCCCAAGGAACACAGCAGTGGAAAACGGTGCCTGTGAGCATTGGCCCTAGACGCCCCAGTGTTTCAGGGCACGTTTAAAAGTGAAAGCCCGGGTTTTACCCCCTAAGCCGTAGCGACGTTTATTCACGCTCAGGCGTGTGACCAGAAGACTATAACGGCTGCTAGACCCTCGGAGAAGCCCCGGACCTACCAGACACCCCTAACACCAGAGTCTGGGTAGTGGAGCAGGGGGTATTGAAAGCAAATTTTCTGTAGGGCGTTATTGGGAGCTCTATAAAGAGCCTACGTTTGCCAGGGATCTACTAGACGCCAAGACTCAAGTAGGCACTCGCGCCTTTCCCATTTAAAGCAGGAGAAAACTGAGGCTTAAGAAATGACCCCAAAGCCACCCGTGACTCCTTGCCTCACGGGGATTCGAGCACACACAGTGTGGAACGCCTACCACTACCTAAAACCGTCGCTCTGCTGCTGGGAGGGCTGGTCTATTTTATCCCCTCTTGGTTACAAGATTGTTACCTGCGGGACAAAGCATTTCAACGCTCTAGGCATCCCTGAAATGGCCTGCACCCCCAACCCTCTTCTCACACAACCCACAGGGCCCATGCCCCTGGCCTCGCGGCCCAGAGAGGTGGGCCCCCGCGGCCAATCAGCGCCTTTGGTGCTCGGGTGCGGAGAACGAACCCCACTCTGCATCCGTCCGTTGGCCAGATTCTGCCGCACTGTTTTCAAGTTTGCAGAGTATCCGCCTTTCCTCGTTTCTTCCGGAGTAGTAACTCTTTAAAAGATACTAACCAACAAGTTTTATGAGAGTTTCCTGACAGCCAGGTGAAGTTGGTACTATTTTGGCGAATGAAGAAACAGGGTTAGAGTGGTGAAGAGACTTGGCCAAGATCAGAGAGAAAGTCTCAAGAAGGAAATTGGAAGCAGAGGCTTTGGCTCCAATCTTTCAGGTATATATATATCCCTCCACATATTTTAAGTTGAGGCACTGATAATGACTTCGGGAAGTCACATGCAAGGCAGAGAAATGAAATGATGTCCTGGAGTAACTTTACATTCCAAGTAGAGAGACTTCCATACAGCTAATAATAATATGAAGTAGAAAGTACCAAGTGCCAGAAGCACATCCGTTTATTTCTTCAACAAATATCTTAGTATCTTCATTTGCACCCTCTTCTAACTACCCAGTTCCCTAGAGTAAATTCAGACAATTTGGGCAAGGAGAATATCATATTTGTTTTTGCATAAAAATGAATGTAAGTAACACAAATAGTCCTTAATCCAAGATGCTCATATATTTAACATTTTTACATTTATTTTAGAGAGATGGGGAGGCGGGGAGAAGGAGAGAAACACTGATGTGAGAGAGAAACATGGATTGGCTGCCTTCCCTATGCACCCCAGCTGTGGGGCTGAACCTGCAACCCAAGCATGTGCCCTGAACTGACCCAGAATCCAACCAACAACTTCTCAGTCTGCAGGACACCCAACTAAGTGAACCACACATGCTGGGCTCTGCTGATACATTTTTAAGGATAATTTTGAGATAATGCCTCTTAGAATGGAGAGGACATCTAAAATTCAGACACAGTGAAAGGAACAGAGTTGCCCTGGCTCGTGTGGCTCACCAGACTGCAAAGCAAGGGGTTGCTAGTTTGATTCCTAGTCAGGGCACATGCCTGGGGTGCAGGCCGGGTCCCTGGTAGGTGGCATGGGAGAGGCAACCACACACTGATGTTTCTCTCCCTCTCTTTCTCCTTCCCTTCCCCTTTCTCTAAAAATAAATAAATAAATAAAATCTTAAAAAAAGAGAAAGGGGGGCAGCGACCGGAGGGGAGAAGGAAGGGAATTTAAAGGGAAAAACGGGGAGGGATTTTGAAGAACAAGTATGAAAGACACAGGGATGAGGACTGGGGGGGGATAGGAGGGAGGTGGGGAGACGGGGTGGGGGGGCTGTGATGGGAGAAATAGATAAAAAAAAATACTGTACTTGAAAAATAACTAAATAAATTTAAAAAAAAGAGAAAGGCACAGAGTTGATCAATAACTAACAAATTAGCAAATAGCTGAGTGCAGGGAATGGAAAATATAAGAGAAATTCAAGAAAACTCCAGTGTGGGATTGTGGGAGGGTTGGATGATGTTAAAAAAACAAGAAACCTGGAATGTGGACATGAAAACATGACATTAGAGACCTCCCCTAAGGAGCACGTCACCAGGGGCTTGGAACCCGGAAGATCTGGATTAAACATCACTGAAAACAGACTATAAGATGAAAGGTTCAAAGTTACATAAAATAACCAGGAGCCACTTCCTTTGCTTTTTAAAGTGCTCGCTACTTAAAAGGGGAGTTGGACTGCTACCTATGTTAAGAAACTTGATGCAGCAATGTATCCATAAATTTAAAATGTGAAGTATTTCACTGGAACAGAAAGGACCCAGTATAGCAGGGATCAGGAAAGTGGGGCTGCCCAAACAGCTTCCAAGAGGTGCATTTCCAGTTCTATAGAAAAAAGACAAGATCTGCGTAACACAACAGACTGGTGGTTGCCCAGGGCTTCGAGGTACGGGAGAGATGACTGCTTAACAGTGGGTTTCTTCATCTTTTTATTCATGCATTTATTTATTTATTTTATTTATTTATTTTATTGATTGATTGATTGGTTGGAGGGGGGAAGAGGGAGAGAAATATCAATGTGTGGTTGCCTCTCACATTGTCCACGTTAGGGACCTGGCCTGCAACCCAGGCATGTGCCCTGACCAGGAATCAAACTCGTGACCCTTTGATTTGCAGCCTGAGCTCAATCCACTGAGCTACACCAGCCAGGTCTTTTTAGGAGGAAAAATGTTTGAAAATTGATTGTGGTGATGGTTGCATAAGTGTGAATATGGTGAAAACCATGGAGTTGTACTTTAAATGGTAGTTGTACGGTATGTGAATTATACCTCAATAAAATTGTTATAAAGAGAATCTGGGCAAAAACATCAAAGGTTATGTGGTGTGACCTTTGCTGGTACATTTGGGTAGGCTGCTCTTGCCATTGGGACAATGAGAAAGGCAGAAACAAATTTGCCCAATAATTTGTTCATTTTTATTCTCAATGTGATACACAGCCTTTGAATGTTTAATTCTGTGGCTATCAACAGAATCAGTTAGGGACCATAAATGGAAGAATTGGTTTGGCATAATGGGATAAAGAGTTTTTGAAAATAGATGTTCAACCTGGATATGTTAGAAAGAAAACTTGATGAATCCTGGAAGGACTAGTACAGCAGGAGAGGGAGGGGCAGAGATCAGTGGCTTTGTTTGCTCTTATTGATAAATGGAGACTCTAGCAGAATGGCACTGCCACTGGGTCGTCTCTAGGGTGGCCACACCACCTAACCAAGCACCGTGGGTTTTTCAGAATTAAGGAGAAAAGTAAGGAGGGTGTTAGCATTTATGTCTGCTGCAATAACAATAGCCCTCGTTTACTCTATCAGGAACTGTCGTAAGAGCTTTATGTGTATATATTCATTTAGTCCTCTCAACGATCCTACAAATACTAACATCACCACTTAAAATGAGAAAATTGATGCATAGGGAAGTTACACAACATGCTCAAAGTGGAGAATTATTAAGTGGGGAAGCAAAGACAAAAACCCCAGTGATCTGGCTCGTTTGTGCTATTAACCACTATAACCCCAAAATAAAAATGTTAGCCCAGCAGTGTTTAAATTCCACAGCTCCACGCTGACTGGTGAGGTTCAGTGGGCCGAGTGCTGGCCTGTGAACCAAAAGGTTGTGGGTTCAATTCCTGGTCAGGACACATGGTTGGGCTGTGGGCCAGGTTCCCTATTGGGAGTATGAGAGGCAACTGGTCCATGTTTGTCTCACACATGATGTTTCTCTCCCTCTTTTCCATTCTAAAAAATAAAAACTTAAATTCTTTGGTTTGCAGGCTGGCACTCAGTCCATTGAGCCACACCAGCCAGGGCTAAAAAAAAAATTCTTAAAGCCCTGGCTGGTATAGCTCAGTGGATTGAGTGCAGGCTGTGAACCAAAGGGTTGCTGGTTCGATTCCCAGCCAGGGCACATGCGTGGGTTACAGGCCAGGTCCCCAGTGGAGGCAACGTGAGAGGCGACCACACATTGATGTTTCTCTCCCTGTCTCCCTCCCTTCCTTTCTAAAAGTAAATAAATAAAATCTTTTTAAAAACACCCTAATTTGTGCTTAATGCACATTTTTTAAAACTTTTAAAAGTTTATTTATCTTTAGAGAGGAAGGGAAGGAAGAGAGAGAAGTATCAATGTATGGTTGCTTCTTGTGCATCCCCTGCTGGGAACTGGCCTGCAACCCAGGCATGTGCCCTGACTGGGACACATTTTTAAAAAAAGATTCTTAACCTAGGAAAGCTGGGGACAGGTGTATGCCAACTATACTTTAATATTAAAAAGTTATGTGATGGGCAAAAACAAAGCCAACTTCACATATTAAGGGTAACATACTTATTTTCCTTTCGTGCAGAATCTTCATTTTGGCATATTTGCTTATTTAATCCTCACCTGAGAGCATTTTTTTATTGCTTGTAAAAAGAGAGGAAGCGGGGAGGGAGAGAGAACATCAATTGGTTGTCTTCTACACGCACACCAACTGGGAATCTAACCCACAACCTAGCTATGTGCCCTGGCCAGGAATCGAACCTGCAACCTTTCCATGTATAGGACATTGCTCCAACAGAGCCACACCAGCCTGGACCATCTTGGTGAATTTTAAAACTAACATACTAATGTTCAAAACTGTGATAAATTATACATCTATCATAAGTAAAAAGTTTGTATTGCTTTTACTGAACTCCATCATATAGCATTGCTGGTAAGAGAAATGGCTGTGCCTTTCCTCCTCGTCAGGTTTATACACTACCTGGCTTATCACATCCCTAGACGTCTCACTCTAGTTGTGGCTCTCCCACTGCCCTCGCAGTATCCTCTGGTTTATTTTCACAATCAACCCCCCAAGCGGCCCATGATGTGCAAAGTGGTCCAAGAAAGACAGCCCCAACACAGTCTGGAAATTCATCCTAACAAAAGGCAGAGACTCCAGACATTTTCTTTGCTTAGAGCCACAATCCAGACTTGCAAGATTAAAGAAGGTTAAGACACACTACCCCTGCTGGGTATCAATTTGAAGAGCTACAGGCTCTTTGCCTAGCCTTCATTAGCCCCACTCTGTTAAATGCCCCGGGAAAATTCTGCAGTGCTCAGAGAGAACACTTAGAAAGCTCACCATCTCTTCCTCTTAGGCCAAGTTCAACCTCCTATAATATTTAGCACCACCACTGGCAATCTCTTATGTTTGTGTGAATAAATAACAACTTTGCAAATTCTTGTATCACAAGAAAGAATACCTCAATTAATGAAGAGAATAATTTTGCAAATCAAACCAAAGCAGTTTCATTTTTTTTAAAGTCATCAACTTTGGAAAGTTCAGATCATTTTAAAGTTCTTTTCCTTGATTCCTGTCTCCTTAGAAATAAAGAGCTTAGGTAATTTTTTAAAAACAAAGAATTTTTTTAAAGATTTTATTTATTTATTTTTAGAGAGGGGGGAAGGAGAGAGGGAGGGAAACATCAATGTGTGGCTGTCTCTGGAATGCCCCCTACTGGGGACCTGGCCCACAACCCACGCATGTGTCCTGACTGGAAATCGAACCTCGTCCCTTTGGTTCGCAGCCAGCGCTCAATTCACTGAGCTACACCAGCCAGGGAACAAAGAAATTTTTAAAAATTCCCACCCCGGCTGCTGTAGCTCAGTGGGTTGAGCGCCGACCTGTGAATGCAAAAGTGGCTGGTTAGGTTCCCAGTCAGGACACATGCCTGGGTTGCAGCCAGGTCCCTGGTTGGGGGTATGCAAGAGGCAACCAATCGACATTTATCTTACACACTGGTGGTGTTCTCTAACTGTATAAGTATACTGGCTTTAATAGAAGGAAGGAACCATTTGTAAGGGCACTAAGTTTTCTTATGGGAAAACAAGAAAGCATCAATACGATCCACTTTTGGACCAGGCTGGAGTGCTGGCATTCCACTGGAAGGATGTGCGCACCTGCTGCTATGGCAGGGAACAAATGAGGAACCATACTTGCCACCTGAAGAATTCTTTAGCATTTGAATATTTAGTTAACACAAACCAAGGCTATGCCTTGATTTTCCATTTGTGAAAGTTACACTTTTAAGTCAAAAATTTGTTGTGCATATCATCATGTATCATCAGACTGTAGAATTTATATCATGGTATCTTCTCAAAAAGAAGAGAAAACACAGTTCTTCATAGGAGGCTTTGTTTGTTTTTTGTATCTTAAATGTCAATGATCACAAAAACTTCTGGCTTCTCTTCATTATAGACCTGCATTGCTGAATATGTTATTGCCTTGACTTCAGTTCCCTAAAGTTGGGGTTAGAGAAAAAGACAAATAGGAAAAAAAAGGACATTGAAATCAGAATCATTAACTCTAGAACAACTGGCAGAAAGTCAAAATTTTATTATTTTGAGAAACTAAAAACTCAGTGAACAATTACTTATCAAATTGATATAGTATTACACAGTGATCTAACAAAAACAACACGCGCACAGTAGAAACAGCACTGAACTGCAGTCAGGAGATGGAACTCTAATCCTGCCTTTGTTTCCACCTGGGTACAGAAGCTGTCCGACCTCTCCGGGCATCGGCTTTTTCCATTTATCAAATCCACAAATCGAAGAACACAAACTTTCCTCCTATTTGCTTGGGGTTCCTTCTGAAGACTTCCTCCTTGCAGTCTAACCTGGGCCCTAGGAACTCGGTCTAGTCTCCCTTCAGCTGCCAATATTCACTGTACCTTGGAGGGTTCTCTCTCCACATGTTTCTCATACATGACAATGACCTGCTCCAGTTCAGAAACACAGTATTTGATGTTCTCTTAGTTCCTTTTATAATAACCCTGTTCACCACAAAATGCACCAGAGAATTAGGGGGCTGGCACGTGCCAGCTCTGTGGCACCAAAGAAATCCAGGGATTTTAGACAGGTCTGAATGGCACCTGCCTTTGCTTTTTCCCCTCTGCCATAAACCCCGGGGGAACAAGCACTTCGATCAAATTCAACTTTCTGCCTGCGGCAGCACACACCATGCAGACTGATACCACCTTAAAAGTCTCCCACAATTCTCAAAAGGGTACTCAGCGCTGACCAGTAATCCAATTGTACATTTACCACAAAATTCACTTTCTCACTCTGAGGCAACTGAAATTTCACATCTTTACCTCTAGCCTCCGTCTTTCATTTTCTCTCTCTCTCACCTGGGCTTTCTCAGAAAAAACAAGAACAATCAGTAAGAAGTGATTCATCTCCCCCACCACCACCACCACAAATCTGCCACCCTGCTGTATCTGTACTCCCATCAGCCTTTTGTCCCGTTGCAATGGCCAGTCCCTGCTCCTATGAGAAGGCCAACTTCACTTCAAGACTCTACTGACCCCCAACCCCTAGCCCTTAACAACTTAAATCTTTGCTCTAAAATCACTCTTCCTCTTCAGCATGATCAATTTCCCCCCATATACTAGATTATTTCCACTTGGCATGCAATCATGCTACAAAACCTTCCAGCTAATACGAGGCAAAGCACAAAACTTCCCTACCAGCCACATACCCCTCTAGCTACTACATGTTCCCCCTTTCTGCAAAGTCATCAAAAGAACTGTCTCAATATACTGCCTCTACTTTCCCAACTCAGAGTCCTTCTTTGACCTACCCCAAATAGTTACATTATTCCACTGATTAGTAAATCCAAGGTCAATTCTCTGTCCTTACCTTACTCAATCTTTGAGCAACCTTAAGAGCATTAGCTATCTAGCTTCCCGGGCTGCCCCTTTCTCTTGCTCCCCTCACTAGGCCTTCTTCTCCCTCTTTTCCTTTTTGGGCCCAAACCTAATGCCTTCAGGGTTCGGTCCTCTCTCCTACTCTCGCTCAGCTCCCCTGCCTCCCTGGTAACTTTATCTAGTCCTGTGACTATGAACAACCATCTATTCAGTGATGACACAGAAAGTCTGTATGTCCAGACACACCTCTCTCCCGAACAAGTCATTCTATACATAAATGCCTATTATCTGACATATCCATTTGGATGTCTAATAAACTTCTCAATTATAACATGTTCAAAAAAACCCCATGTGTCACTTGTATTACAAAAATAATGTTTTCAATCCATATGCTCCCCACTACTGGTTTCTTTTCATTCTATGCTTCTCTCTCTCTCGAAGATACTGCACCAGCCTTCATTTCATCTTATATGAAGTGACAAGTTGAAGAAATGATACCAGCATTTCCTAATCACCTCCAGGTAATTTAGATCTCCTTGACCTGAACGCAGGGGTCAGGAAACCACTAATCACAGGCCAAATCCAACCTGCCACCTGTTTTTGTACAGTCCCACAAACTAAGGATGGTTTTTACATTTCTAAACGGTTGGGGAAAAAAATCCAAAAAAAATATTCCATGACATATGAAAATGACATGAAATTCAAGTTTCAAGGCCCATAAAGTTTTACCGGAACACGATTGCATTCATTCATTCGTGTATTGTCTATGCGGCTACTGTGTTACAACACAAAAGGTGAGGTGGGGGTGGCTCTTCCATCACTCTACCCACAAAAGCTTAAACATTATCTGGCCCTTTACAGGAAAGTTCTGTCTCCCCGATTCCAACAGATTTGATGACACAGAGTGAAGCCATACAAGCTGGCAGATACAGAGGACCAGGTGGTAGAAGGTCCTTTAGAGAACATCTAGTCCAAAACCTTCCTCACAGAGGGAGAAACCAAAGCTCCAAAAGGCAAGGGACTTATTTTTCAAGTCCACAATGACCAGTAACAAACCTGACCCTCAAACTCAATTGCTGACTTTTTTTTTAAACAAGTTTTTTTTTTTTTTAAAGATTTTAATTAGTTATCTTCAGAGGGGAAGGGAAGGAGAGAGGGAGAGAAACATCAATGTATGGTTGCCTCTCGTGTGTCCCCTGCTGGGAACTGGCCTGCAACCCAGGCATGTGCCCTGACTGGGAATCGAACCGCGATACTTAATTGCTGACTTTTAATCCACCAAACCAGGTATGTGAAATCACAGTGCTTTAACAAAATGTGCCCAAAGAGGTCAACGACAGTTGAGAAAAACTTACCACTTTATACCAATTTATTAAAAGTCATTGAAGTTTACTGTCACATACACGAAACTTTATGGTAAGGAAGTACAAAATGTTTTTAATGACTGGAGTAGAAACGTACCTGAGGGTGCTTGGACAATGAGAATTCTTCTCCCCACCTTGAGAAGGAAAATTAAAGCATAATTAAGATGTCCAAGAGTTGCTGTTTGTCTCTCTTCACAGATTTCATTTGATTTTTTCCTTTTCATTAAGCTTATTGGGGTGACACAGGTTAACAGAATTTACAGGCTTTCAGGTGCACAGTTCTACAACATGACATCTGTGTAATGTACTGTGTGTTTACCACCCTAAGTCAACTCTCTATCCGTCAGCATTTGTGCCCCCATACCCTCCAACTCCCTCCACATCCTCCCCCTATTCACCTATTTTAAAATAAGCCTTACAAATGTAGTTAAGATACCAAAAAGCCAAGAGATGGAAGGGGTAAGAAGCTATAAAGTTCATTTTAATTGCCAGTGGATACAGCTACTGAGGGACTTATGTGCAACAGCCATTTAAACAAAGTCATAATCTTAAAAAAAATGTACCCCAATATAGTGTGCATAGACAGATTCTCAATAAACACTCTTGAATATTATTTCATAATAGGGTAGCATGTCCAAAATGTTCTCTGTACTCAAGGATACAGAACTAATAAAATACCATGTCCCACCGGAGAAGACAAAATAAGGCAAAATAATAGATTCTATACTATGGTCTGAACTTGGTTTGCATTTTATAACTTTTTAAAAAATGCCCATGTCTGTATGTGGAACGCCCTACAAAGGCACCCATTCTCCTAGAGCATGGCTAGAACTAAGTGTCCTCTCTCCCTTCAACACTAATGTGGCTGAAGATCACAGTAGTAGAAGCAGTAAGCAGTAGTAGAAAGAGGAAAATTTTAAAACTTTGTTCAACCATTTATTAGCTAAGTACCCTGGACAAGCCTATTTCTTCACCCACCACCCCCCAAAAAAGTGGTGCTAATAAAAGACCTCACTTTACAAAAGCAAATGAAATAAAATTCAACATAAAATGGAAAAGATAGGTTTTACATAAAAATAACATAAAAGAGCGCGGGCCTGCGAACCAGAGTATCACGGTTCATTTCCCAGTCAGGGTACATGCCTGGGTTGCAGGCCAGTTCCCAGCAAGGGACACATGAGAGGCAACCACGCATTGATATTTCTCTCCCTCTCTCCTTTCCTTCCCCTCTAAAGATAAATAAAATCTTAAAAAAAAATAACATAAAAGATACCAAGTAACTAATGACTTGGGAAACACCAAGCGCAATCGAAGTGACCTAATCAAGTGTTAACGAACTCTGGAAGAAAAGAATAATAGAAGAAACTGCTCTGAATGGAGTCCAGGTGTGAGGATCTGTGAAAACTGACAAATCAGTGGTGCCCATCACCAAGCTAGGCTTTATGCATATATCGAAGCGAACTAGCAATTATGTATTTTTTGTGATAAAAATCAATAAATTGGTGGTTAGCTTTGACAACTCCAATCAAGTCTGTCCTGACAAGTTTCTGGTCCTGTGAGCTCTCCCTCCTCGGTGTTAACAAACCTTAACCCACTTAACCAGCTGAACAGCCCTACTACTGACATGCACTTGGTCTTCTGACTTTCTGTCTGCTGAGTTCAGTGACCAATGTGACTTAGTATCTTTCATGACCTGCTAGTAAAAAATTTTTTAAACTCACCCAATTGACCGTAATTTGAAACTTCTTTGATCAATATTAAGTACTTTTACTTCCTAAAGAGGAAAAAAAATTTTAATTAAAAAGAAATGTTCATTACAGACCATCTACTAAACACGTGTCTAGGTTATCACCTTTTCTAGGTAACAGCATACAACTTCTATTATGCAAAGAAAATTAAAACGTTAACTAAAATAGAACAATAAATAGTAGAAAACTGTACTTGAAAAATAACTAAATAAAATTTTAAAAAAATAGAACAATAAATTAAATATACTTCAAGGAAATAATGTTTTGTTCTTATATATTCAAGGGAGGTATTCTTTAAAATGTACAATCTAAAAACAAGTCGAAAGAATTTTTCTGTAAAACAGAGGATGACCTAGGATTTCAAACACTCTCAGCCTATGTTTTTCAACTTTATTGAGGTATAATGGACAGAACTCTTAGCCCATTTTTATGTAATACTTCAGGCACTTGAACTCTGTAAGACGAATGACCCAGCTGGAAGGGTGTGTGTAGGGAGCTGGAAAGGGAGAGAACGAGGAATTAGGGGAGCAAGGAGGAGCCATGTGAGCTCCAGAACAGTGAATCTGGAGAGGTATTCCTTTCCAGAGGTTGATGGCAACAAGCAATCTCCTTATGGCTTTTTCTTTTTCACATTAAGGAAAACTAAAAGGACCAATTTTTTGACTTAGGCCAACATGGCAGAGCTGCTAAATTTCAAATGGGACAAAAGGAACATGTAAATGGACAAAAAAATATAGCTCAAATTTGGGAGACATAAAGTGTTGATAAAGACAGTAAATGCATTCTTACTGCAGAATCCTGACTGGTGACAAGTATACACTAAGAGATTGAAATACAAATGACATATACATGGGCAGACTCAGGTTAACCACAGAGAGCCTATGGTCGTTACAATCTCTGCCTATCAGTATCACTGTTACGTATCTCTATGGCTTGGTTTTACGCCACATGTTCTACTTTAAATCACTCGTGCCATTTTAAAATATGAACTAAGAACCCACATGCTCAGTAAAAAAAAAAAATCCTTGCTTACCCGGGGTATGAAGAAGTCATCAGCACTGAACTTATAAAGCCACTCATCCAAAAAGTGAAACAGAAGAGACTGCAAGTCATCTCCTACACAGAATCAAAAAGAACCATAATAGTATGATGTTTAATAATTCTCATCTCTAAAAACTTGTTTGAATTTAAAAGCACAATGAATTTCTTAGGCAAGTTGCAAGAGGAAGAACACGCTCATAATCAGTTTTGTTGTCCTTAGTGTGAAAATATTCTGCAATTATGCAGAATACTGCACACTTGTATAATAATTCTTCCCTGTAAATAAACTGGTTACCTTGTGTTTCCACTTCCACTGTTTGGAGGGGCTCCACAGTCCCCGTATCTGTCATGTAACCAAACATGGCCATCGCACACTGCTCGAATGCTTCCTCCAGAGTATCTCCCCATGCGTGTAACCTGAAGAAAGACATTCATGCCCTGTGTAATATAACCCACTGCAAGAGAGGAAACCTGACTGAAAGTCAAAATAAAATCAGTATGATAAATACAAAACCAAAGGCCTTCAGTCAATTTAATGGCACTGAAACTGGGTGCTTTTAAGCCATCATTTTCATGTTCTAAAGGAACATGAATAAGAAAAATTAAAATGGGGAACATCAAGATGAAAACATCAGCCTTTTTTTAAAAAAGATTTTATTTATTTATCTTTAGAGAAGAAGGGAAGGAGAGAAGGAAAGAAATATCAATGTGTGGTTGCTTCCCATCAGTCCCCTGCTGGGAACCGGCCTGCAACCCAGGCATGTGCCGTGACTGGGAATCAAACCAGGACCCTTTGGTTCACAGGCCTGTGCTCAATCCACTGAACCACACCAGCCAGGGCAAAAACATCAGCCTTCTTATTTAAGCACATGGTTTCAAAGGCATCAATTCCAGCTATACTCACTGGACATCCGCTGTATGATCCAGATCTGAGGGAGAGAATGGAAAACACTATGAGCAACTAAACTGGACTTGCTAATCACAAGAAAAGAACTCTCATTCATTGCTGACACCAACCTTGGAGAAAGAAAATGTGGGTAGATCACACCTTATGCTATCCATTTACACAAAAGTTAACTGCTTTATTAAGGATTATTTTTTAATTTTTAAAATTTCTTCTAGGCATTTACAGTTATTATTCTGTTAATATAAATTAAACAAATGGCTAAACAACTAATAGTGATACAATAAATATTAGCATATTAATGTTAAAAGGTTATTTTTTAAAAAGATTTTACTTATTTATTTTTAGAGAATGGGAAAGGGAGGGAAACACCAATGTGTGGTTACCTCTGGCACATCCTGCACTGGGGATCCAGCCCACAACCCAGGCATGTGCCCTAGACTGGGAATCGAACCAGGACCCTTTGGTTCACAGGCCTGTGCTCAATCCACTGAACCACACCAGCCAGGGCTAAAAGGTTATTTTTTAATCTCAAAATTTACATTTAAAAGAATGACAAGTTCTAGAAAGCAATGAGGCGCTGGTCTTCTAGGTGACCTAAAATGTGTCTAATACATCAGTTTCTCAATTTAAAAAAATGTCATTTCCTTCCCTGGCTGATGTAGCTCAGTGGATTGAGCGTGGGCTGCGAACCAGTTCGATTACCAGTCAGGGCACATGCCTGGGTTGCAGGCCAGGTCCCCAGTGGGGGCCACCACCCCCAGTGCCTCTCACCACTGAGAGGCAACCACACATTGATGGTTCTCTAACTCTCTCCTTCCCTTTGCTCTAAAAATAAATAAATAAATAAATAAAATCTTTTTTTAAAAATGTCATTTCCTGATAGTTACTTTTCCTTTTGAATGTAATCATAAAACTGGTATCTACTGTATGAATGATCAAAATTCTAGGAACTATATCACCATCAAAGATATGAAATTCCAGATTTCCCTGCTTCACCTTTTCATGCACGGTTAGCCAAATCCTAGATAAAATAGTTTTGGGGTTTTTTAAAACAAGAGCCAGGTTTTTTTACCTGTCGACTTCTAGCATTTGACGAACTCTTTGATGATCTAGTTGGCTGATAAAACGGTTTTAGAAAGTAAACTCTACGATAAGTATTAGGAGCTTTTCCCTGATAGTCTCCCAGGAATACTGGTAAGTAACAACGGCTACTATAGCAAGCTCCCCCTGGATCTGTTATGTCAACACTTCCGTCTACTCTTCACCTGTGGTATAGCTTTCATCAATTCTTCCCACTCCAAATCACAGAATATTCAGGATGAAAGTGAGTCTTAGAGATCATTTAATATAATTCTTTTACTTACAAGAAGCAGCCCGAAACCCAGACACTGTGTGACTTGTTCAGGACTACACTGTGGATTAGAGGTAGAGTTAGGGCTGGAATTGAGATTTTTCTGACTCCCAACTGAATGCACTTTCCACCATAACACATTGTCATGTGGTGGCACTCGAGGTTCAAACTCATCGCTAATTTACTCAGCTATATTACTGAGGATTTCAAACATTTCAGGCACGAAGGGGCTCATGACCAACAGAGATGACAAACCAGTTAAAAGAAAGTGACTAGTATTAACCCTAGAGAAATGAAAGCATGTATCCACAAAGACATATAAGAATATTCATGGCAATTTTATTCCTCAAGATTAAAACCCAATGTCTGCCTGGCTGGCATAGCTCAGTGGATTAAGCGCGGGCCTGCGAACCAGAGTATCGCGGTTCAGTTCCCAGTCAGGGCACATGCCTGGGTTGCAGGCCAGTTCCCAGCAGGGGACGCACGAGAGGCAACCATACATTGATATCTCTCTCCCACTCTTTCTCCTTCCCTTCCCCTCTCTCGAAAAATAAATAAATAAAATAAATTTAAAAAGAATTAGACTTTAAAAAAAAAACAAAACCCAATGTCTGTCGAGAGAATAGATAAAACAAACTGAGGATGCCCTGGCTGGTGTGGCTCAGTGGATTGGGTCCCAGCCTGTAAAACAACAGGTCACTGGTTCGATTCCCAGTCTAGGGCACATGCCTGGGTTGTGGACCAGGTCCCCAGTATGGGGCATATGAGAAGCAACCAATCAATGTATCTAGCACACGTTGATGTTTCTTTCTCTCTCCCTGCCCCCTCTCTAAAAATAAATAAATAAAATCTAAAAAAAAACAACCCAAACCTGATGAATATAATGTGATACTACTCAGCAATAAAAAAAGTGTGAACTACTGATATTATATTAACATGAATCTCAAAAATATTTTAAGTGAAGGAGACTTCCGCCAAGATGGAGGCATAAGTGGATGTGCCGTGCCTTCTCACACAACCAAGTTTAGAGACAACTAAATATTAGCAACAGAAAACACAGCCAGAACACGGAAAATTGAACTTTTTGGAAGTCCGTTAACAAATTCTTCAGCCTGACTGGTAAGGGGCGAAACCAGCAGCTGGTGAGGCGGGGTTGCACAGGAGGACTCGGTCAGGCGCACGGAATCCAGGCACGCGGAATCCAGGCGCAGGGTTGGACCTAGTGAGCGACCGAGCGAGCGACCGTGGGGGAGACAACGGAGGAGCGGTGCTGCGTGTTGACTGTGGTCGCGCATTTGTGCGCAGGTGGACGGGCGAGGGAGTGGGCGGTTGGACCGGGGCCCTGCGGGTCCCGTGGCAAGCGGCAGTGGAGGGCGCCGCCATTTCCCTGCTCTGACCCCACCTCCACATACAGCGTCATAACCCAGCGACTCTGAGTGGCCCGGCCCAGGTGAACCACCTAAGATGCTAATCTTCACCCAGCTGTGAGAAACAGCAGAGGGGGTCGCCATTTCCCCGCTTTGACCACGCCCCCACATACAGCGTCACAACCCAGCGACCTGGGAGTCCAAGGCGCCGCTTCTCACACTTAAAGGGCAGAACAGACCAAAAATGGCGCAGGAAGATCTCAAAGCACCAGAGCCTATAGATCTAAGCAATGAAGAAATAGCAAAACTCTCAGATGCACAGTTTAAAACACTGGTCATCAGGATCCTCACAGAACTTGTTGATTATACCCACAAATTAGACAAATATATGAAGGCGAAACTAATTGAAATGAATGGAATTGCACAGGACACCAATAGCACAGAAAAGGAAACTGGGACTCAAATCAATGGATTGGACCAGAAGAAAGCAAATAATGGCCAAACAGAAAAGAGTCAAGAAGCAAGAATTCAAAGAAATGAGGAGAGTCTTAGGAACCTCCAGGACATCTTTAAATGCTCCAACATCCGAATTATAGGGGTACCAGAAGGGGGAAAGGCACAGCCACCAGTGGAAAACTTATTTGAACAAATAATAAAGGAGAATTTCCCCAATCTGGCAAAGGAAATAGACTTCCAGGAAATCCAGGAAGCTCAGAGAGTCCCAAAGAACTTGGACCCAAGAAAGAACACACCAAGGCACATCATAATTACGTTAGCCAAAATTAAAATGAAGGAGAGAATCCTAGAAGCAGCAAGAGCTAAGGGGACAGTCACCTACAAAGGAGTCCCCATCAGACTGTCAGCGGATTTCTCAAAAGAGACCTTACAGGCAAGAAGGGGCTGGAAAGAGGTATTCCAAGTCATGAAATCCAAAGACCTACAACCAAGATTGCTCTATCCAGCAAAACTTTCATTTAGAATGGAAGGACAGATAAAGTGCTTCTCAGATAAGATCAAATTCAAGGAGTTCATCATCACCAAGCCCTTATTATATGAAATGTTAAAGGGACTTATCTAAGAAAAAGAAGTTAAAGAAACATGAACAGTGAAAGGACAACAAACTCACAGTTATTAACAACCACACCTAAAACAAAAGCAAACTAAAAGGACAGCTAGATCAGGAGTGGAAACATAGAAATGAAGATCTCAAGGAGAGTTAGCAACAGGGGAGTGGGAGGAGGAGAAGGGGGGAGAAGGTACAGAAAATAAGTAGCACAGATAGAAAACAGAAGGGGGGGCAAGAATAGCATGGGAAATATAGAATCTAAAGGACTTGAGACACATGGTCATAAACTAAAGGGGGGGTAATGGTGGGGATGGGGGGTAGGGTGGAGGGGAATGAAAGGGGGAATAGAACAACTGTAACAGCATAATCAATAAAAAATTTTTTAAAAAAAGAAAAAAATATTTTAAGTGAAAACTACAGAAGTCTCAGCACCTAACGACTCCATCCAAACCCCTCTGCACTGAGAGTGGCACGGCTTGAGCACGGCTTCTAGCAGCCTAAAGCCACCCACCTTCCTAGGACTGCAGTGCTTACCCCTACCCATACCCCGCATTACAATGCCTGCCTGAGAAATTGCAACACAGCCAGAAGAATTCACTGTTTGTTCTGGCCAGCACCTGACCACAAGCCCTTGACCTCCCTATCTTAGAGCATTGACTAAAAAGGATTTACGTTGTAAATATTTTATCTTTTACAGCTCAGAAGTGTCTTTCTCAAGGACTCCAGAGCCATTCCTTTGAAATGTAATCACCAGGAAGGTCTCTGTCTGGGGAGGGGAGCAGGAGGACACAATCCGAACTTTGCAACTGCCAGCTAGCAAACACTGAGTTTACACTAACCCAAACTTTAAAAAATTTTCACTTCTTGGTGTCTACTGAGCTCCATCTTCTCCCTCAATTCCTTTCTCCATTTAAAACGGGAGGGGATTAACAGTCCTCCAGACCCCTGCCTCTGATACTGGATTGTTGGGGGGGGGGGGGGGCAAGAGGAGGTGCTGAACCACAGAGGCCTGTCAGTCTAACTAGGGGGTGTAAACCCATCCAAAGCCCATGAAAACTTGGGAAGTTGGTCGGTTACTTTGAGAAAGCACCTGGTCTATCCCAAACCCAAGCTCCTGGTTATAACTCCAGGGGGACAAAGAACTTTCTTCCTCTCTTGACCATCCCACAGTGCATTTCTCTCTCCATAGCCATGACTTTAGCAGCCTCATGCCTGGCAGCCACATGAACTCCAATGGATCAGCTGGAAACAAGCTAAGCTACCTGGATGGGGACTGAGACCACTTAGCAGCCACCTGCAGGCTCCAAAGGGACAAAGCTCTGTCTTGTTTGGAAATCCATGTTTGTCCCATGCGTTCACATGTCCTCTCTTCGTAGCCATGCGGCTGTGTGGCCTCCACGTGCAGGCTCCAAGAGGGAACCTTAATACTGCAGCACAGCAGTGGGCTGCAGCTGGAAACACACGCTAAGGGGGCCAGATGCTGGACTGGACTGGACTTGAGTATGGAGCAGAAACTCTGGAAACTGGCTTTTGTTTTGGCTTTGCTGAGGACAAGATTGGACTTCTTCCGTGGAGAAACAGATGGAGACAGGACATTGGAAATTCAGGAGGGCAATCCCCTTAATTTTACATCATCGATAAACCATACCACAGAGTCTCATCTTCCCATGGGGGGTCTCAGGAAACTCTTCTCCTTGTGATACTGGTAACAGTATGATAGGAGAACATAAGAGATAACGGAGTCTAGACTAAGGGGTGCAGGTAAGATTTTCTAAATGAAACAAGACTTAACACTTTAGTACCAGAAAAATAAGAGTAATCTATACTTGCTTGTTCATTCTTTTATTCCCAATTTCTACTCAGTGCCTTATACACAACTGGTTCTCAAAAATACTTCTGAATGAACGAGATGACAACCAAACTGAGTCACAGAGGAAAAACAGGCCTCAGCATATTTAAAAAAAAAAAACAAAGACGAAGAAAGAAACAGAAAACAGGCCCAGGGTGAAGTAAGTCCCTTGGCTTCAGGATCCCAAACCAAGATTAATTTCAGCCCTACCCAGGAATGTGACCTTAAACCAATCAGTCTGAAATTTCCTGTTCAATCTGGTGAGGTAATCCGCCTGGCAAGACCCTACCGCCCTTGCCCCAAAGAAAGATGCCCTTGCCTGAAACAATCTCTTGTTGTCTTTTGTTAGTAAGTTTGTCAAACCAGTTTCTGCCTATGAAAACCTTCTTTCTTTAAAAAAATAATTTTTATTTATTTATTTTTAAATTTATTTTTAGAGAGGGGAAGGGAGGGAGAAGGGGAGAGAAACATTAAGGTGTGGTTGCCTCTTACATGGCCCCCACTGGGTACCTGGCCTGCAACCCAGGTATGTGCCCTGACTGGGAATCAAACCTGTGACCCTCTGGATTGCAGGCCTGCTCTCAATCCACTGAGCTATACCAGCCAGGCAAAAACCTTCTTTTTTATACATCTTTTCAGAGCTTCCTTCTATTTGCTAGTTGGGATGCTGCCCAAGGCATGAGTCATCTAATAAAACCAAGTAAATCTTCAAATTTATTCATCAATACAAGGATTCTGTACAAAATGTTGGCAATTAAAATCCAGTATGACCAAGTAGGATTTATTCCTGGAAAGCAAAGATACAATTATGGGTAAATAGATTAAAGTAATTTACATAAATGCACAGTCATCTTCTCAGATGTAGTCATGATGCATAACATAAAAAAAATATTACCAGGATTTTTAGGCAACAGGTTTTCTCTGTACAATAAACAAACTATTTTGTACTTTTCCTCTCATTCTTACTCACTGCATTTTAGTGAATGTTGTAATTGGGAGGCAAGAGGTACACTGGTGCCATACTACTGAGTGGACAAAAGGGCAGAACCTCAATGGAGAACAATTTGGCAATAATTTTGAAGTTAAAAATGCACACATTTGACAAAGCAATGTACCTTTTAGAACCGAAACCTACATATAATCTTGCACATGTGCAAAACAATGGATGTACAAGTGTATTCCCAGCTGTGTTGTGTCTAACAGCTAAATAGTGAAAATATTATAAATGTGCCTCAACTGGATACTGGATGAATAAAGTAAATGCTAGAACGTCTTTTGGATGTAAACAGGCTGAATCTAGTGAGGGAGACTAGGTTGCTTGGGATAAGCCCTGAAAACTTTTCAATACATATTTGCTTTGCTTTTTGAACTTTTAATCACATATAGGACCTACAAAAAGTAACTTTAAAAAAATTGTTTCTAAGTGAGAGAATCATGAGTTAGGGAGAACCTGGCCACACTCTATCCTACTGTTAGAGATACCAAGGGGTGACAATCACTCAAACGCTTGCAAATAAGGTCATCTTCAGAATTAACACCCCATTGGATTCCCACAAAATAAATGCGATTAGGCACATGTAGGAAAAAATCAAGAGACTGTAAAAGCGGGAGACCATGTTTCCTGAACTCTCACAAACCGGGTGGCTTTGTCTTTCAGCATTCCCCCAACAGGTACGAATGAGACCACAACACCGGGCGAAATGGAATCATGTCTGAAGCACCTTTTGGGGAAAACTGGTAAACGAGACCGGAAGCTCCGGGCAAGGAGAGGAGATGAAAGAAGTGAGCCACCTACTCACACTCGTACTTCCGATTAACCGGAGGATACTTGGCCTTGATCGCCTTCTGCTCCTCAGTCAAATTGTAGTCTCTAACATCTTCCTCTTCCTGCGCCATGACTGCAGCTATAGACACTCTACTTCCGCCCTTCACCAGTTGGACTTCGGCCCTGATTTACAAATTCCGATTTAGATCCCGCCCCTTGGCATGCACCCTTAAAGCACCAAGACGTCTCGGGCGTACTTCATCCCTTAAGACTTCCGTTCCAGTCTTTGGCGCTTCTAGAACATCTTTTAAAAGTCAATACCCCATTTCCTGGTCTTGCTCCACAAATGGTTCTAAATACTAAGGAAACAAATTGGGGGATTTAGGAATAAGTAATACCTGAGTTAGACACTTGTAGGTCTGAATGATAGAAGCCTTTTCTTCCTGCCCCAGTCGGTAACTACACCAGAATGTATACTAGACCTAGATTATTCATTTGAGAACTTTGAAGAGGTGTTAGCCTAACAGTCTTTAAGAAAATGGCTGCCCCCAGGAGCGTGAGGATTAAACCACTCACGTGACCCTGGACGGGCGTTCGCCCACCAACAGCTCGCGCGCGCGCGCGCGCGCGCTCTTTCGAAGGAAGTCGCTCGGGGACGCGTCGGGGCAGGAGCTGAGAGCGCGCCTCGGTTCAGGGCGAGCGATTCTGAACGTCTGGATAGGCTGTAGACGCCGACTGCCCGCCCACTTCGCCGTTTGGGGTGCCCCGATTGGCCGGTGTTGGCGCGAAGGTACGCTAGTCAGCCCTCACGCAGGGGCCGCAGGAAACAATAGAGGCCGCGCGGAGAGCGAGCGCCAGTAGACTCCCCGCCCCTCCCGCAACGGTAGACCTCGGGATACCCCCGGCTTGCCTGCCCGCCATGGCCGACAAGGAAGGTGAGGGTGCCGAACCCACCCAAAGAGGACGGGGCGTGTCGGGCTTTCGCCGCGGCCTCCACACGGCCTAACCCTGAGGGCAGGCCCGGTTCTGCTGAGTGCTGCCCGCACCGTTGAAGGCGTGAAGGCGAAATCGCCCCGCGAGGCGGGTTAACGGCGCTCTAGTTCCTTTGGAGAGGAGGCCCGGCGCAAAGGGGTGAAGCTGGCGGTGGGGGGCCCCTGCGGGTGTTCCGACCTTCCTCACGCTCCCTGTCGGTCTACTTGCTTCTCTCCCGGTGCGCCCTGAGCCGGTTCGCAACACCCCGGGGCTCGGTCCTCGGGCCTTTTCGTCGGTCCCGTAAACTTAAACAGTGCTCCGGGGCCCGGCGCCCGCTCCCGCACGGCTGGCGGGGTGTCTAGCCCGGGCGACCCGGGAGTAGTTACGACCCGCGAAGGCGGAGGCGTGTTAGTGCCTCCGCGCAGGGACAGACCTGCCCCTTATCAAGACTCAGGAGTCCCACGGGTGGCTTTGGAAGTGTTTACTCGATTTCTATTGTGTTCGCTAACTTAGTTTGTTTTTAATATTTTAGCAGCCTTCGATGACGCAGTAGAGGAACGTGTGATCAACGAAGAGTACAAAATATGGAAAAAGAACACCCCTTTTCTTTACGATTTGGTGATGACCCACGCTCTGGAGTGGCCCAGCTTAACTGCACAGTGGCTTCCAGATGTAACCAGGTGATACGAATTTCTTGAACATCATTTTGGGGTGACCTCAGTGTAGATTTGTCACGTCTATTTACCTTTTTTTCTCTCCAGTCACCCTTAGGGGGCACCTAATCGGAACCTATTGGTGACATTTTTTTCCTAGGGCGAAAAGTAAAATTACTTTGTAATTTTTTCTGATAAGAGAGAACATGCTGTTCTCTTTTTCTGTTACTGGGTTGAATAGTCATGTTGTAACTATAGTGTACCAAATAATAGTGGGAAATTGTCAGCTTTCAAAACAGTCCTTTTAATCTCACAGTCATTGGTTGTAGCTGCTAATACAAAGACGAGTGTGACATGGTGCTTGTCTGCAAGGAGCACGGTCTAGTTGTACCTAATAATTAGAGTTGCATGTGCTGAGAGCAGTTTTAGAGAGATACTTAGGATGCTTAGAACTAACACCTGAAGGTGGGATGGTTCACATGTGAGAGATTAATCACATGTATTTCTTACTCATGGGTAGCTTATGTCTAATAGTGGAAATAAAAAATATTATTTAATTTCGCTTACATGTATTGAGGGTCTAGGTGCCACTTAAGACAAACTTAAATACCTTCCTTTCCTTGACTTACGTGTATAACCTGTAACAGTGAAAAAATTAACACCATGAGAATGGAAAACAAAATGATGAGAGGAAAGAAAAAGTACATCCAACTTAGTATGAGAAAGGCTCAGGTTTTAGCAAAACCAGTATGCCTATTGGAGTAATGAATTTTCTATTACAAAACTGTTTTGGTATTCAGAGTAACATTTAAAAGCTATGTGTACTGAAAAGTAAATTTCTTCAAACTTTCGTCTTTAGAAGTCTGTGTTTCAGCTCAGCAAATAATAGATATTTGATAAAATTTGTATTAAGAATAAGCCCTCAGTGGTGTGGCATGGTTGGTTGGGTGTTGTCCTGCAAACTGAAAGGTCTCGGGTTTGAATTCCAGTCAGGGCACATGCCTGGGTTGTGGGTTCAGCCTTGAGTCGGGGTGCATGTGAGAGGCAACGGATCAGAGTCTATCTCTCGCATTGATGTTTCCCTCTTTCTAAAAAGGAATAAAATATTTATTTTTTAAAAAATGAGACTGCTACCTTTGCAGTGGCATTAAAGAAATTGGGAAATCTGTCTTAAGGTAGTTAAACAAAACCATAATACCTAGAAATTTAGAGTTGGAAACTTCTTTATCAGGTTTCCATGTTCAACTGATCATCAGAGTCAGCCAGAAAAAAGAACGAATTCTTACCACATAGAACAACATGGATGGGCCTAGAGAGTTTTGTGCTGAGTGAAATAAGTCAGAAAGACAGATAACATATGATTTCACTTATGTGGAATCTAGAAAATAACATAAACAAGTAGAACAGAAACAGACTCATAGATACAGAGAACATTTTGATGGTTGCCAGATGGAAGAAGAGTTGGGAATGGGTAAAAAAGACGAAGGGATTATGTACAAATCGTAGTTACAGAATAGTCATGGGGATATGAAGTACAGCATAGGGAATGCAGTCAGTAAGTAACATAACTGTAGTACCAAATGAGTAACTAGGTTTATTGGGGTGATCATAAGTTATATAAAGTTTGATCACTTAGTTGTACACCTGAAACTAATATAATATACGTCAACTGTAATTGAAAAAGAAATTATTTAGCTAGCTGGGTAGCTCAGTTAGTGTTCAGTATGCTAAGGTTCTGGATTCAGACCCCCTATCAGGGCACATAAAAGAATCAACCTATGAATGCATACGTAAGTGGAACAACAAATAGATGTGTATGTGTGTGTGTGTGTGTCTCTCTCTCTCTCTCTCTCCCTCCCCCTCTCCCCCGCTTCTCCCTCCCTCCCTCCCTCTTCTCCTTTCCTTCCTCTCAATCAGTCAATTAAAAAATTGTTTTTAGTTAAAAATAGCTAAAACAGCCCTGGCTGGTGTAGCTCAGTGGATTGAGCACGGGCCTGCGAACCAGACAATCGCGGTTCGATTCCCAGTCAGGGCACATGCCAGGGTTGCAGGCAGGTTCCCTGCAGGCCAGTTCCCAGCAGGGGACGCATGAAAGGCAACCATACATGGATGTTTCTCTCCCTCTCTCCTTCCCTTCCCCTCTAAAGATAAATAAATAAAATCTTAAAAAAAAAAAAAAAAAGATAATTTATAAAAAAAAAAAAAAAAAAAAAATAGCTAAAACAGCTTTGGCTGGTGTGGCGCAGTGGATTGAGTGGCAGACCGCAAACCAAATGTCACTGGTTCGAGTCCCAATCAGGTCATGCCTGGGTTGCAGGCTGGGTCCCTGGCGGGGCAGCTTGAGAGAGGCAACCATAGATTGATGTTTCCTTCTCTTTCTCTCCTCTATCTAAAACTAAATAAAACCCCCTTTTTTTTTTTCCTTAAGTTGAGTACAGTAGAAGTGGATTTTTTTTCTGTCAGGAATTTTTAGTGGTACTTCAAACCCTTAAACTTATGGTAGAGTACTTGATGAGAAAGACTGTAGTTGATGATTACAGATTTACTGGTTACCTGCTAAATTACATTGGACCAGTGTGTCCCAAATATTGGCTACCCCATACCTACTAAATCCTGGAACATGAAGGCTTTTCATATAATGTGATTAGGTAAGCTTGGGAAGCAGTGAATTAGACTAAATTCCCCAAGGCTGAAATCTGTGTATTTTAATGGCTTTATGCTTTAGCAGATCTAGGCAAATAAACCTTTAATACTTGATATCCAAATACCCTGCCTTTTTTCTTCCTTTTTTTTTTTTTTTGTATTCTACTCATAACAATGTTAGTTTTTTTTAGAATGCAGATTATTTATAACCAAGCATCTTTAATGCCAGTGTTCTTATTTTGAAATTCACATCCTTTAAAAAATAATTGCAGTTCTATAATATTCTTCCCTCCCTCCCTTCCCCTGGTTCTTCAACTTTCTTTTCTTTTTTTAAAGATATTATTTATTTATTTTTAGAAAGGGGGAAGGGAGGGAATAAGATGAAGAAAAACACCAATGTATAAAAGATACTGGGGATCCAACCCTGCAACCCAGGCATGTGCCTTGACTGGGGATCAAACCAGTGACCCTTTGGTTTGCAGGCCGGTGCTCAGTCCACTGAGCCACACTAGCCAGGACTGATTCTTTTAACTTTCCAAATACAAATGTCAATTTTGTGTTGAGAGCCCTCTTTTTAACTCTATTTTTTTTATGTAATAAAAAAAAGATTTAAAAATTTTATTTATTTTTAGAGAGAGGAAGAGAGGGAGAAAGAGGGAAACATCAATGTGTAGTTGCCTCTTGTGTGTCCCCAACTGGGGACTGGCCAGCAACCCACGCATGTGTCTTGGCTAGGAATCGAACCTGTGACATTTCAGTTCACAGGCCAGCATTCAATCCACTGAGCTACACCAGCCAGGGCTACTTTTTCTATTTAAGATAATAGATGTCTATCACCTCTGTACAGAGGAATTCTGATTGGTTATTTTAGACCCAATCTCTGGTTTCTTCTCAATATTAAGATGTTTACTGGTGTCTTCTCTGGTTATTCTATTGGCTTCTCAAATGTGACACGTTCCAAATTGAGTATATTCTTTTACCTGGAGGTCCCATCAGAACTTTCTCTTAGAGTTTGAGTTTAATCTGTTTTTTAGCGTTCTCTCCCACTATGTTTTCCCATCCCTAAGCCAGATTTGCACTTGCTCTAGTTCTTTTACTTCTATGATCTAAGGCGGGTTGCTTCATCTTTACAGTGTTACTGTATTTAAATGACACAGGTATGTGCAGTGCTTAACAAGATTTCTGGTGCTTTTGTTAACCTTCCCCTTTGCTCAGTTTCTTTCTTTTTTTCTTTTTTAATCCACACTTGACATTTTCTTAATTGCTTTTAGAAAGAGAGGAAGGGAAACATCGATG